TCAACAATCAATAAATCCAGCTGGCCCTCTTCTCCTCTTTTGTCTTGGCAAATGAAGCTGATGGATGAAAGCGAGGCCCCTTGCCCTCTCCCTCGTAATGTGCTGTGAATGACCGTGTCAATACATTTGGGAATGGAGGCAAAGATGTTTGGAGATTTTAAAAGGGGTTCGGAGCGGGACACAGCAGCGGGGTCAACTCTTAGAACAACTTAATATTTAATCAAGTTGGCTTCACCGTAACTCTAAACCCCACAATTCCCCTATGGAGAAGCAAGGAGAAAAGGAAAGTGGGACGGCGAGATGATATTGTGTCTCATGAACTACCTCGTCCTTTGACAGAGTGCAAATTACATGAGAGATTGAGGTGAAAATGGACTATTTGAGGGACGTTTGTCAGGGGAGAGCGTGTGCAGTAGACAGAGAAAGGCAGGTAAAAGACAAACCTGAAATGACAGATGATTAGGACCATTAAAGTCTTCTTTATCATCCAGATTGGATCTCAGAGGTCAGACTGATTCAGGCAAGATTAAAGAAAGCCATAAGCATGTCATAATGTCTAAAAATGACTTTACCAGTGGTAGTAGAAAGGCATTTAAAAAAAGAGCACTTTGAAGATTAATATATCAACATTTCAAAATACTTTTTTGATGCCTGCTTATTATAGAGGTAGAAGTTAATCCCACTAATTGCCTTCTAAGACTTATTATCAAAGAAGATAGCTGTAATTGAATCTACTTTGTTGCAAAGATCTTTGACTGAATGCAGTCCGTTATTGCTGAACAGTCTGATGAAGAAGTTGCTCAGAGTTGTCCATTTGTCTTTATTTTGAGAATAATCCTTCCGTGGTCTGAAATAATCATATACTCTTCATAAGTCCCCCAAAACAAAACCTTTCTTTATCACCTCTTTTTAGTCTTGTTCGGATGATGCTACCTTGAAAAAAAAGATGTCAGAAGAGATTTCTCTCTCCACAGTCAAATGCCCTATAGAAGATCTACTGCATCATTTGCTGCAAATACTAAAGAATGGAAGTACAGTCTGTCTGTGACTTATTGTAGATGGCTTGACTGTTGCATTTCCAGTCTCTAACTGGGTTAGAACATGTCACCTCCATTGTGTTATTCATATTCAGAATGAGATGATTGCTTTCATACCATACGGCAGAGTGGTCCACCAGCTCCCCACACTTACTCTCATGTCCACCATATGACTGCAGAGTCATCAGAGTAAAGAAGTTTAAAATATGATTCCTGATGTACAGTAATGTAGGGTTTCAGGTAACCTAGATGTTGTTTATTTGATTAAAGAATGCCGATTTCAATCAGACTTAAAGGGATAGTTCGGTATTTTTGACATGAATCTGTATGGCATCCCGATCACCAGCGGCATGCAATCACACTGACTTACCCCTGGCAGCGTCCTGTGAGCAGAGTTATCGTCCAGTTTTGGTCAAGCCGAAAGTAGTCCTGCAGGTTTTTAGGTACAGCGAAATAAAACGTTTCTCTTCCCAAAACATTATGTGTCCAAAAGAGTGATATTTTCGCATCCCAAAAACATTGTAGTGGAAAAAGTCACACGTCGTTATCAATTGGTCCTATTTTCTCTCTGTTCGTATCAGTGCGCGCCGTCATTCAGACAGCGAGCCCAACAACAGCCATGTCTCCTTCCGCGGCGGAGGGAGACATGGCTGTTGTTGGGCTCGCTGTCTGAATGACGGCGCGCACTGATTCGAACAGAGAGAAAATAGGACCAATTGATAACGACGTGTGACTTTTTCCACTACAATGTTTTTGGGATGCGAAAATATCACTCTTTTGGACACATAATGTTTTGGGAAGAGAAAAGTTTTATTTCGCTGTTCCTAAAAACCTGCAGGACTACTTTCGGCTTGACCAAAACTGGACGATAACTCTGCTCACAGGACGCTGCCAGGGGTAAGTCAGTGTGATTGCATGCCGCTGGTGATCGGGATGCCATACAGATTCATGTCAAAAATACCGAACTATCCCTTTAACTTGAGCCTAAAGACTTGTGAACACCTCTATACATCCATCCATTCATCTTCTGCCATGTATCCATCAGGAGCACATGGGGCTGGTGCCGACCTCTTGCAGTCCATGGGTGAAAGTAAAGGTTCTCCTTAAAAAAAATTTCAGTCACCAATCAATCAAACAGTCATAGTTTGGTCTGTGGTAGGAGCTCAGAGTACCTGCAGAAAACCCAAAGATGCACTGGGAGAACCTGCAAACTTTTAACGCAGAAATATTCTAGGTCTAAAATCGAACTGAGGACCTTCTTTCTGCAAGGAATCAATGCTACTAACTGTGCCAGAGTGAAGATATTTAGGATGCTTTTGAACAATATAAGTTAAACACTTATCTCAAATATGATTTAATTGCAGTTTACTTTCCTGTAGGAGTTTTTTTGTTTGTTGGGGGGAGTGGCGGGCTACTGGTTAGGGCATAGAGCTTGGAATTCTGAGCTTCTGAGTTCAAGCCCCACTCCCACAGACTACCACTCTGGGTCTCTGAGCAAGACCCTTAACCCCACACTGCTCCCCGGGTGCCTCACGGTGGCAGCCCACTTCTCCCCAAGTGGATGGGTTAAATGCAGAGGTGAGGGAAACCAGATCAAATCTATGCTAGATGCATTGTTCTAGTTAAACACTGGAACAGGCAGAAAGACTGATGTGATGATTTCAAGTTGATGATTGAAAATATTAAGCCAAATATACCAACTAAATACACATAAAGTTGAGGAATGTTTATATGTTTAATAGGATGTCTTTGCCATAGTTAAAAATGTCAGAGATCAAAGACTGGGATGACTTCAGTGAAGGGATTGCTTTGCCAGTCCATCAAAAGAACCTCAGTCTCATTGGTCATTCTTTATGCTGAAGGTGGGAGTCCAACAGTGTGAGAATCTCGCCAGCTGTTGCTTCCCCCTGGCACAGCAGCTGTTAACTGTATCCTGTCAGCTCGTTTCGGAGCTCAGGGTGACTTTCCCTTCATACCTTGCAGCCACCATGAAGCTTTAAGGTTCTTGGGATAAATGAACAGGCGGATAAAGAGCAGAGCGAAGAATGCAGTGATGAATGTCAGCAGGTATAGGTAGGCAGATGGGCCCCGGGGACCCCTGGCTGGTCCTTGTGGAGTTACAGGCAGCCAAGTTCAGCATGAACCGCCCAGCCCAGCGTCAGCACTTTGGGGGAGAAACTGGAAAAACTGCTGAGGCAGGCGAACACGTGGGGAGATGAGGCCAAGTGGTGAAAATTTAACCACCCTGATGAAAGTTTAAGTGCACATGTTAAACAGGAGGTGACTGTATGGGACACTTTCACACAGTTTCTATTGAATACTCCACTCTGCAAGTCAGCCCTGGCCATGACTCTGATTTTACCTGACACCCCAGTCCTTCAGTGACCCTGGCTTGTCCTCAAACGTAAAATCATACTGAACTTCTAGTTTTTACCTCTTGATAATTGGCTTTGAGGATGCTGCTCTGTTTCAAGGACACCACCAGAATTGCTCTGCTATGCAATCTGGCCAGTAAATTTGCCAAAGACTTGAAGCACTTATTCTGGTGACTTTTTTCACTTGAATGTACATAAAACTAGGGAAGGACAGATATTGATACCACGATGGGCTACCTGTCTGATACAGTGTGCATGTACTTGTTGACGTATTGGATATTGGGTCCTATAGTAGGAAATGTTCCAATACTATAGGACCGTTGTGATAAGAGCTACATTTCCCCAACATTAGATGGCAACAGTCTATACACATGCACTTCAGCCTAGTAAGCAGCAGTGATGCAGCATGAAAAGGAGCCTGACCGTCTGCCTGAACTTAAAGGAGCAATAAGTAAGGAATTTCTGTAAAATAAACCACAATTATTATTCTTTCTCACCCAGGATGGAAGTAATATTCGCGATAAACAAATATTCTGCTTCATCATCAATGTTGTAGCTTTTTTCTTCTTTTAATCCTGGAAGTATGATTCATAAATACTTTACTGCAGCATGTTCCCAAGCCAATCATAGGAGAATTCCAGAAGTTGTCAACATAAAGCACAACATTTGGTAGTTTATGTTGGATACAAAGTACTTTAAAGGTATAGTGCAACAACTTTCTTTTGCTTAATGGTCTTCATTCTTTATCTTGAATTTAGCTGTGCTATGTCCTCGTTTCTCTTCACAACCTTCCTCATCCTCTCCAAAGAGGAGGAGTAGGAGTGTTCTCTGTGTTTTGTTCCGATTTCATGCACTAGGTGTCATTATTACAAATTGCTGCTTTAAATAAAAGAGGAAGGAAGAATATGAGCTGTGTGAAGCTTTTTCCAAGTTAAAAAAAAGGTGAAAAAAGTAATGCAGACTGGCATTTATGCTAATCTAAGTTGTCAATAGAATTATGGAATTTAGGAAATCTTTTCTTGTAAATTTTATCAAACGTCCCTTAATTTAATACGAAGACAAATTTCACTAGAAGTAAATTTTTAAATTGAAACTGACTGAAATTAAAACCTCTTCCAACGAAGTGCAAGACATGTAATGGCGAAGATTAATTCTCATATGGAAACTTGTTACTGACAAGTATTTAAATGCAGGTACAAAACTTCAGTAAAAAAAAAATGTTTTATTGGAGTTGAAAATAACCACCTACCTCTGTCTTTGCTAAAGAAGTGATCTGAACAGGAGAGGTAGAGTGTAAAACGGGTGATTACATAAGGTGGGTTCGCTGTGGGGATACACACTCACTTCACAGTGTTGATAGAGTCTTTCACCAACCTGATAGAGTGTTGATTAGGATGTGCTTTCCCATAAGGATCCAGTGCTGAATTAGATCCTAATGGGCTTGTCTCTCTTTGATAGTCACTGCGTCACATTTTCCTCTCGTCTTAGTCCCCCTTTCGACAATCGTTTCTAACTGAACTCCATGTCAAGCACTCTGACCAGCTCTTTCTAACCTGCATTTGGATCGCTTATGTCCTTCTGTCTCCAGGTGCGGTGCGAGCCTCCAGCATCTTCCCCATCCTCAGTGTCATATTACTCTTCATGGGAGGCCTGTGTATAGCTGCCAGTGAGTTCTACAAGTCACGCCACAACATCATCCTCAGTGCAGGGATCTTCTTTGTTTCTGCAGGTGAGTCAAACATACGTAAAACTAGACAAAAAGCATATTTTGTATTTCAAATATTTGGCTTTCCTTTTACAAAATTTTACTTATTACTTTATAATTCAATGAACAAGTGACTGTTTGGCTTGTAAATTGTTGATAACCAAGCAGGAATAAGATTTAACAATGCAAAGTACACTACAGACTTTATATTATTCATAGTATTTCATCCCTGACCATTTCTTCTGTTTTAGCTTTTTCATTGTGACTCAGTTACAAAACAATAGACAATCAAGCATATGTTTATATCAACAGGAATGACCTAGTCAATATGTTCCCAGAAAAGTAGTTTTTAATGATTCAAACCAATCATGTCCAATGTCAAAAAGCAACAACCTCTAGTTAAATCCAGTGTTGCCAACTCAGCGACTTTGTCGCTATATTTAGCGACTTTTCAGACCCCTGCAGCGACTCTTTTTCAAAACAGCGACTAGCGACAAATCTAGCGACTTTTCCTGGTGTCTGCCGTGGGGCACCTCCCGCGTCCCAACCCCGTTCTCCCGCTTCTGCAGGAGTCCCTCTCAGCGCTGCAGTCAGAGCCACAGCATGTTTACCCTCAGCTTCCAGACTGCAAATGAACCGCTCGCATGTGCAGAGATTGACGGCGCAGGTTGATCACGCTGAAGTCAGCTCCCTCAGTTGCTGAACCTGCCATAGAGAGCCTTGACCAATATGACGAGGACCCACTCAAGCACAGCCTGCGTGTGTGGAGGGAAATCTTATTAGTTTGAAAAAAATTTAACAATAATTACCATTATTTGCTCACATTGTCATTGATTCTTTGTAGCCTTTTTTTGTTCCATTTAGATTGTTAATTGTTGTTGTTCAAAATGTTAATGTTTTACCATGATTTTTAAGCTCCTTAGGGGACCACAAGGGGAAAAGAAAAAGTTAAAAAAAAGTTGAAAAAAATATATATATTATGCAAATTTGGCAATGACGTCATTCAGCGACTTCTAGCGACTTACAGCACAGCCAATAGCTAATTTCCTCACAGAGGAGTTGGCAGCACTGGTTAAATCATGAATTAATGAACTCTTTGGTTCAGTCTCACTGGCAGCACCCTGCTCTGATCACTACTAGATCTTTAGAACAGCATATTATTTATAGAGAACTTGTTTAACAACATAAAATTTAGCACAAAACACTGATTTAACCACATATTTTAAATAACTGATCTGTGAAACTCAGTATTTTTATTTGTCTTCAAAAGGTCCACAACCAAAAAGCAGTGAACATTTCCAAGACTGGTCAACCTACTAAAATTATTGCAAGAGTACATCAACGATTAATCTGGAAGGTGACAAAGGTCCCAGAACATCATTCCTAAAAAGGCCCCTTTGGCTCAGATCAGTTAGCCTCTTGAGACCATCCTGATCTCGCGAGCTTTCAAGGTTTCACTCACAAATCAGTATTTCTACTCTCCGTTGAAGAAAATTTGGAGCTGTTCACCAAACGAACGTCCAATCAGTGTTGGCTTTGAGGCGGGTTGAGGTGTGACGCAACAAGAAGCCCGACAGTTCAGTCTAAAGAACATGGCGGCTTCAGCGAAGAAACTAGCGTTAGCGTGGCTATCGAGCAAGTTTTATCGGAATTACAGAGTATTTCTTCACTGAAAGAAGAGCAAAACACTGCTCTGGAGGCTTTTCTCAGAGGAAAAGATGTTTTTGCTCTTCTCCTGACTGGTTTTGGCAAGAGTTTGATCTATCAATTGGCTCCTCTTCGTCGTTGCTCTGTTAGTACGTCATATGCTTCGTTGATCTGATTGGTTTATTTGGCCCGTCTATCACCAACATAGGCCAATCAGCTAACCAGCATTTTCGCCCCTTCCCAAAATTACTTCAACGGAAGGTTTCCAGATGGATATGCGGAGCAAATCCATCTGGCGGAGTCAGGTTACAGATCCGTGCTCATGGATCAACATTAATTAAGGAGTCGGGCAAAAAAATGGCATCAATGATGCCTTTAGGGTGAAAAACTCTACAGTGAAAACATTCTGATGATTCCCAAGACCTTTGAGATAATATTCTGTGGCCTGACGAGACAGAATTGTAACTTTTTGGCAAGAAAAGTCCAATTTTATCTGGGGTAAAACTAAAACAACTTTAAATAGAAGAAAAAAAACTACATTGTCAATTGCACAAGGTGGTTGTACTGTGAATGTCAAGGACAGCTTTGCTTCTCTTTGACCCTGGATGAATTATCGCAGGTAAAAGAACCATTGATTGTGGTCTCCACCAAACATCTGTAAGGAGAACATCTGTCCATAAGGTCTTGATGCCAACTTAAAGTATCATAAGTGTTACGCAGCAGAACAATAATCCAAAACACACCAACATTGATTTGCTCCCATTAAACAAAACGAAGGTTGCAAAATGGCCTAGTCAAAGCCAGGATTGAAAAATCTGAGACGCCAACTTTAAACAAACTATGCTCCAAAACCCTCGAAACGGCTGAATCACAACAATTATGTGAAGAAGAATAGATCAACACTATTCTGCCTTAAAGTAAAAAACCCATTGGAAGTTACTATGAATGCTTTATGACGGTTGTTGTTGCTAATGGTGACGCAGACACTGATGATCTTGAGGAAGTGATTACTTTTTTATATAGGTTGGTCTGGAAATGTTCCTCTTATTTACGTTAGAACTAATAATATTTAAAAAAGCTTTTTTTTTGGTCCGGTTTTCCTTGCTTGATATTAACCTTTGCTTGATGGTCTCAAACATTTAATGTGAGGAAAAAAGCCAAAGCAGAAGAAATTTTAAGGACATGCCTTTTCACAACTCTGTAAGCAGTTTTCTTTTCCAGTCGTGAACATTTGAGCATTCTATAAGTTAATCTCTATAATGTCTGATTTTTGACTGTGTTCTACCATAGCGAAAAGCCATTTTGCATTGTGGTCTTTTTTTCATGTTGTTGCTAGGTTAAACATCCCCCTTTGGGATCTATCTCCCTCTGTGTCTGTGTTCCTGACACACTTTCCCTATTATCCATCTTTTAATACCTTTCATATCAAAATATTCTCTGTGACTAAACTGACAAGTTGAAGCTTGAACATCAAATATTTGATTAGAAAACAACACCAGGAGCTTTTTCTTCCGCTGACACTTTGTCTTTTCTCTGCCTTCCCCTTTTCTCCACATTTCTATTTGTTTTTTTTTCTGTCTACTACTAAATGATGGTCGCCATACGACTTCTGATGCACCAGGTCTCAGCAACATTATCGGGATCATCGTGTACATATCAGCTAATGCAGGGGACCCTTCAAAAAGCGACTCAAAGAAGAACAGCTATTCATATGGCTGGTCCTTCTACTTTGGTGCCCTATCCTTTATTATGGCTGAGATGGTTGGCGTCTTGGCCGTGCACATGTTCATCGACCGCCATCGACAGCTGCGAATAGGGGCACGCGCAGCCGACTACCTCCAAGGCTCGGCCATAACACGGATCCCCAGCTATCGATATCGCTACAGGCGCCGTTCGCGCTCCTCTTCCCGATCCACAGACCCGTCACATTCCCGCGACGCCTCACCCGTGGGCCTCAAGGGCTTCAGCGCGCTACCATCCACAGAGATCTCCATGTACACGCTTCCCAGGGACACCCTCAAGTCGTCCGGTACGCCCACAGCCACCTTCAACTCTGAGAGGGACCACAACTTCCTTCAAGTCCACAACTGCATCCAGAAGGACCTGAAAGACTCGAGTCACACCAACACAGCGAACCGCCGCACCACGCCTGTATGAGAGAATGGAGACAGGCCTGGCAAGCTCACCGGAGATCAGGAGACACAGGCAACCCCTTTGGATGCCGTCGACTCCTGGAGAAGTTGGATTTCCATGTTTATAGACATTCATTGTTTTTGTTTAAATGCATGACTTTTCCATAACCATTGTTGAGAGAGTTTCCAACGAGTCTGCCTCGTTCTGGGATTGATCGGGTCGGGTAGCCTAGAGACGAGTGAGATCTGTCATGTTTTTGGGCAGGTTTTCTTTTCCAGGTTACAAGTGAAAGGTGGGAGGATTGGGCATATACCAGATAATCAGTTCCATGATTTCATGCCCTTGAGTTCGGTTGGGGCGACAGTTCCAGCTACCCCTCAGCCAGCCTAATGCTAAGATATATATAAGCCCTTTTTTTATTTATTGACTCATTTGTTAATTTTTTGCATTAAAACTGTGAATTGTTACAGCTTGGGATTCAGTAAGAAGTACCCCAATCTGTAATCTCTAACAAAGGTACTATATATATATATATATATATATATATATATATATATATATATATATATATATATATATATATATATATATATATATATACATATATACATATATATAAATATATGTATTACTTTTATAAATAAATTATTATGTTAATAATCAAGAGATAACAGACTTTACTGAAGCAAAAAACAAAAAAAAGGAGAAAATTCAACCAAGTGCTGTTGATAATAGGAGAAAAGACTTTTCTATCTCTTCATTTGAAGGTCAAGAACAAGAGAAGGTCCTTAAGGTACCAGAAGCAGAAGCAGGCATTCAACAGTAGAGTATTACATATTCTTTTAATAGAACCTTCTCTGCTTTTTCTCCAACTCTGTTCTCTTTCTTTTTCGAGGGTTTGGTGTAAAGGGAGCGTTGAAACCCCCACCCTCTTTCAGAAAGAGCCAAGCAAAGGAGTCAAAGCTCGACTTGCAAAGACTCCAAAAACACGACTTCTGCAAAACGGAAAGAAAGGAGCAGAGAGGGAAGAAAAAGAAGAGGACGCCAGACACAAAAACAAAAAACAAGTTTAATATGAAATAGAACAAGAAAAGCTAAGAGACTCACAATTTCAGAAATTAAATGCATGCTATTAAATTACAGCAAATCTGCTCTTGAGAAACTTAAGTTTTAAAGGTTAATTACTATAAGGGGAAAAAAGCAAAGGCGCTAGAGTTTAAAGTATTAATGTTTTCATGTGTGGATTTATTATGGTTTCTTTTTTTATTACTTTTATTTAGCATATATTATCTCATTACATTTGTCAGACGAACCAAACAATTTACTTTGAACAAAACTGCTTTCTTTAAACTGTTCAGTTGGTTTCTTTATAAATATATAAATAAATGTATGTATGTATTTTATGTTGGTTTGGAAAACTCACACAGCCTTAGCCATTTCTTTGATTCTTTTCATTTTTAATGTGCTGTTCGAATTGATAATGAAATCTTTAAAAGGTGCCAAAAACCGAATGATCCTATACTTGGATGCATCAAGTCCTGATGAATAAAATACGAACCCTAGGGGGAACAAATCACCATGTTTCTCTGCGTGTCTCTAACACACTTCACCAAACAACACCTTCCTTTCTCTCACGTTTAACTGCTAAGTCTGTCTGCCCCGTCTTCATAACTGTGAGGCTGTCTTACATAAAGATTTAAGACAGATTGGAAGGTCTCATCTGTTTTGGGGGGGCTTTAAATCTCATAAATCTGTCATAGGTTTTAAAGGAAAGTACCCCCCATACATCCTTGTTCGCTTCAGAACCTTAAAAATATTCTTATATTTATATTTCTTATCAAGTTATGACGGTTTGTTTACGTTAGAGATTCACAGATCTCTAAATCAACTAAATCACAATCTGCTGATCAGAAATTCAAACATCAATTCCATAAATTTCTTTAATACTGTTGTCTCATGTACATTAATATTGTACATGGTTGTGAGTTTGAAACCCACTCCCACAGACTGAGCAGCCCACTGCTCCCCAAGGCAATGGGTTAAATGCAGAGAGTGAATTTCATTGTGCTGTACTTGTGACAAAGTAATGATAATGAAATGCTGGAGGGGAAAAAAAGAAATTGTATTATTAAGTTTAGAAATTATAAAGTATAGTGGATTGACCACTGTTTAAGTGAAGCAGTTAGGAAAAGCTTTTTTTTTTACCAAAATGGAAAATAGAGAAAATATTGTAGATGAAGAATAAAGCAGGTTTTAATTCAACCCTGGAAGGACTGTTCGTAATCCTACCTCCAGCGCTGGCACCGGTCAGCGCTCCGCCTCTCTGTCTGCCCACAGGGTCCTCTGATCCTCAACCGTCCTCCAGCAGTTAGTCTGTAGAGGCTGGCCTTGGCCTGCTGCCGTCTCTTCTTGCTCTGTTTCCCTGGCGGGCTTTTCCGATGTACCGCAGTCCTCCTCATGGTCAACTGTAGCCCATCTCCACCACCTTCAGTGCTCTGTTTCCCAGCTGACTTATGCCATCTACAGCTTTCCTGCTCCCATCATCTGCAGTTAGTTTCTAAAGCTAGCCTGAGTTAGAAATAGCCTCTCCCCAGCATTTATTTCTCCAAATGCGAGGCAGTCTTCTCCTATCCACAGCTTAGCCCCAGAGGGGGGCAGGAATGGCCAGTTCATCCCAGTTATGGAGCTCTTTCAGCATTTCAGTGTTGTCGCACTGATTCCCGCTGCTGCAGTGTGAGCTCCAATTCATTGCTCACCTTACCTCTGTTGTCTGGGTGATTCCTCCCTCTGTTTTGGGCACTCTGACCATAACAAACAAGTGCAGGAGAGAGTACCTTCCATAGATAATTTTTTATAAATAGTATTTTCCAGGTCTGTGTAGGATGTAGATTGTATATAGGCCTAACTTTCCGTAGCCATATTTGCACCTAATAGCGATCTCTACAGACACTAGTTTGTCAGCTCTGCGCTGCCATAGTGCAAAGAGGTCATCCTCCATACAAAAGCGACCTGCTCCTATGAAATTATAAATAGCACTCTATAAAGCAACGCAGACATAAAGGTTGAGACTTTTCATTCATGGATGATAATAAATAACATACTTATGTTTAATATATTTCATTTTTCTCAGTAAAATGATTACACACTAGCTTTAAGTAATTTCTACTCATAGTTAAAGAGTTTGTAGAACCTCATATTATTCTGGAACAGTGTAGGACCAAACTTTTTGAGCCAGATTGCAGCTGTCAAGCTGAGGGATCTACATTAAAGCGGTCCGCTCAATGACTCCAAGGAGCTTAGCTCCAGTGGCAGCAAACCCAAAGGATTATTCCTCTGGTACGAGGCACCTGCCATACAAAAATCAAATGAAATTCTCTTTTCAAAAGCAAGAAGCTTCTCCTTCAAATTTTCAAAAATAATTTTTTCTAATTATGGGGTTTACATGCCAACTGAGGCATGAATATATTGGGTATCTGACCTTGGGTTAAATTACTGCCACATTCACGCCTAAAAACTGCCCTCATATTTAAGTTTTGTTTTGGTTTTATTCTTTACATCATTATTAAACCTTTTGGCAATAAATTAATGAACATGAAATAATTTGCCTCTCTAAAGTCATTTCTCATATCTATCCGACTTAATAGTGTGGTGACACCCAAGCTATGCAAACCACAATTTTTTAAAAGCTGCTTACACTGATAATTATTAGTTATAAACTACATATGATCAGTAAAACCTGCTGCTTTTTCCTCTCAAAACCTGTAGACCCTATAAGGATGTTCTTTGTTTCTCATATCACTTACACACACTAAACACTGTAATCTGCTGTGAGGTTTTTACACTTGGGAATAAATATAAGCAATTTTACAATCTGATAAGAACAGAATTGTTTGGGGTTTTTTTATGTGTTTTGGTACCTAAAAATCTTCAGTTAATCACTTAAAGGGATTGCCTGAAGTCATGACATAATTAGATTCCAAAACTGTTTGCACATGCATGCAAAAAAGAAAAATACCACGCATTTAAATGTTACCAATAATCAAAGTAATTCTATTATGAAAATGTAGATGCAAACAACGCTTTTAGATGATGATTATATTTCAGGATAATTATATTTCAGAACTTTAAGGAGTGACAGTCTTGTATCAGTGTGGAGAAATTTTGGCCCACAGAATTGTTTTAGTAGAGCCAAAGTGGAGAATTTTAAATTATGAATTGCCTGTTTAAATTCTTAATGCTTTGTTAAACATTCAGAGGTAGATTACAGATATGCTTTGGGTCATTGTCCGGCTTCCTAACCTATGCTTAAGTTAAAGGTCACAACCAGGCTCGGACTGGGAACGATTTTTGGCCCTTTTCACCGCCGGAGAGTGAGTGTTGGGGCCGGCTTGATTTAAGGAGGGCCGGCCCCTCGCACGCTGAAATTAGGACTGGCCCACCCCGGTATTACAGATTACCAGTCCGAGCCTGGTTACAACTGATGTCCAAGAATTTCCTTCCAGATTTTCTCCTCGGTTGTAAAATTCAAAGTTTGATGATAGACAGGAAGCCATCAGCTACTGAAGCTGCATAACAGGCTCAGATCATCACACTACTGCACTTAGAAACTGATTCTTTGCATGAAATACTTAGTACTGCATATAAGATAATGAGCATCTTCTAAAAAAAATCTTTTTTTCTGTCTCTGACTAACATGCTCTTAGAATAATTTTGTTTAGATAACCACTACGAAGAGGTTCCACTTTTTTTCCATGTTGTCTCCACTGTGGATAATAGTTCCATGCAGTTTACCTGATTCCCAGATCCTCCCACACTGATGTCAGTAACTTATTCTCTCATCTGTTCCTGGTTTCCTTCAGATCGGGGCCCGATGTTTTGCTTTTTGAATTATTTTGGCCTACTTCATGTCGTCACACATAATTTAGTTCTTGATTCTACACAGCTGTGCACAGTCATGAAAATTTTAATTCATGACTTTTAAAAAGGGGTGATTATATTTTTAGCTTTGATAGTTTGTTTTTTGATACCTTATTCACTAGTATAATAAATCATCATTATGTTATATATTAAATGTATTTGATAAATTTAAAACATTTGCCATGCATTGATAGGTAGCTGGGAAGCCATGGGAGCTTCACCTAAAAGGATGTGATCAGATTTGTGGTCGAGTTGTGTCTACAAAAGGTTGGGCACAAATATCTCACCTTATTTTGCATAAGTTTATTAATATCATCATGCTTAATATCATTTAATTAGCTTCCTATTTGTTAACTGTTTGCCATCCTGTTTTAGGACATGTTTCTTGTTTTTTTTATTCTTTTTATTTCTCATTTTCTTTTTAAACCTTTTTTTTTTCTTAGACCAAGAGAAAACCATTAAATCCCTCAGAAGGGAGTCTTATTTGGTGCTCTTCCAGATTAGTCATGGATATTAAAATCTTTACTTTTCTAAAGACCTTATGTGTTAAACATGAATACCAGATGGTATGAAAATCCCATAACTTTAACAATCACAGTCATTAAATGTTTAGATTTACCTAGGTCTATACCCTACATGTCAAACTAAATGTAATCAGATTGTTTTTAATCTTGTAAAAAGGACACAGAGTGAAGAGTTTTTCTGACAGAAATCAGAAAAAAAAAGCAAGTTCGCTCTAAAAATATTGGCATCAGCTCTCCCATAAAAATAAAAGCTGAGTTGACAGATGTAAAGCCTTGTGTGCTTTGCAGAAATCACATCTTCAGCCAGCGGTTGTAAAATAGTGATAACACATCGTACGCGACCACTGGGAGCTGTAATCCAAAAATATCAACGCTATCCATCAAATATCTGAGATTATTGCAACAACACAGTCAGAAAATATTTTTTCCTTTGTTAAGCGGAGGCAAAAAAATCTCAAGAAGTTAATGTAAATGTTTGCCTCACACTGCAGAAAGTTGTTGGTATAGTTCTACATGTTAATTTCTAGGTCAGAAACAGTCTGCATTAGGTTTCCACTCTGCCAAAAGGATGGCTTTCACTTCTTAACTTCCTGCTCAGATTGCAACTGTGTGTACGAGGCGCTCACACACCCTGCATGCTGCTGAAACTGATACACAAAGTCAGTTAGAAATCGTTTTTTTCCTCAAGGTTTGAGGATCAGGTTTACCTTGGTTGATTTATTGGAGTGGAGAGAGAGAGAAAGAGGGTCCCAGAGAAATATACAGATCCTCCCAGAAGTTTCCATCTATTCATCAGCATGAATGTGTTGAGGAAAGCTCTGATCTTTATATTGGAGAAACAAAACAACCTTTCCACAGACACCCAACAGAGATGAGCTACCTTCTCTGGACAAGACTGGGCTGTACATCTACACCTTATCATTAAAGGACATTCTTTTAAGGAACTAAATGTTAACATTTTGGACAAAGAAGACAGGTGGTTTGAAAGGGGTGTGAAGGAAGCCATTTATGTTAAAAAAGAAAAACCAACCTTAAACAGAGGGGGTGGATTCAGGTTTCAGCTCTCAAAAAACATAAAACGCAGCGATAGAGTTGATTCCCTCCCGCTATCATCTCAACCCCCACCCCCATGCAG